ATTCGTTCACAGTATATATATATATATATATATATATATATATATATATATATATATATATATATATATATGAATATTGATATATGAATATATAAACCATTCAGGCTTGTTCGCATATATATATATATATATATATATATATATATATATATATATATATATATATATATATATATATATTATTAAATTAAATTTTGGGGGGACCACTCTAATATTTAAGCCTGGGCGCTGATGGGAGCTGCCTAAAGAGCCATGATGCTTCAAGATGAGACATGACTCCGAGATGTGGGAGATGAGATGTGAGTGCCAGGTGGGTGAGTGGGAGATGAGATGTGACTGCCAGGTGGGTGAGTGGGAGATGAGATGTGAGTGCCAGGTGGGTGAGTGGGGGAGGAGACATGACTCTGAGATATAGGGAGGGTGAGGGTGGGAGGGGGAGCCTACCAAACACAATGTTGGGATCCATCAGTCACCTCCCGCTCTCACGTGTTTCAATTTTGTGAAAACAATCTCCAGCCTCGGAGTCATTAATTGTTTGTTTTGTTCTGGTGGGCCAAAGTTACATCGCTCTCCAAGAGTGACTTAAGAGGTAGGTTAATGTTTGAGGACTCTCTAAGTGTAACTTAAGAGGTGAGTTGAAAATAAAACAACATGAAAGTGTGACATAAGAAGTAATTATTAATTATTAATTATTTTTAATTATTAAAATTAATATATATATATATATATATATATATATATATATATATATATATATATATATATATATATATATATATATATATATATATATATATATGTCGTACCTAGTAGCCAGAACGCACTTCTCAGCCTACTATGCAAGGCCCGATTTGCCTAATAAGCCAAGTTTTCATGAATTAATTGTTTTTCGACTACCTAACCTACCTAACCTAACCTAACCTAACTTTTTCGGCTACTTAACCTAACCTAACCTATAAAGATAGGTTAGGTTAGGTTAGGTAGGGTTGGTTAGGTTCGGTCATATATCTACGGGAATTTTAACTGCAATTAAAAAAAATTGACCTCATACATAATGAAATGGGTAGCTTTAATCATTTCATAAGAAAAAAAATTAGATAATATATATGACTTCAGGAAAACTTGGCTTATTAGGCAAATCGGGCCTTGCATAGTAGGCTGAGAAGTGCATTCTGGATACTAGGTACGACATATATATATATATATATATATATATATATATATATATATATATATATATATATATATATAATAATAATAATAATAATAAAATAATATAAAACAATACTTAAATATTTAGTAAATATATAATATACTATAATAATAAAATACCTCTAATAATCTTGTAGCTAATTTTCAAACAGTCACCATAATTTAAAACAACAGGCCTTCCAAAATTCACCCACAAATCTTGGAATGAAATCCCAAGAATTCCTAAAGATTATTTTTTGGAATAAAATCCCAAGAAATCCCAAGGTCCTGCCCAAGCTGGGCCAGCGACCATGGGGTGCTAAGCTGGCAGCAGTGCCAGTGCTCCTGTAGTTTCACTGCTCTCCGTCAAAGCTGGTTTAATAAATGAAACAAAACCAGGCTTTTAAAAGTATAACGCAAATTGTATATACTGATTTGAATTGCTGCCGGCGGTGAATTATTGAATGGGTTTATGACGTATATGTTTTTGATGTGATGGAAACAGAGTAAAAGTGTGTTCTCAGGGATTCCACGCAGGAATTGCAGAGTGTATGACTTTATGTATGATGTGTATGTTATGTATGAAGTGAATGCCAATGTGTGCTATGTATAGTGTGTGTTGTGTATGCATTTTGTAAATTATATGTATTGTGTTTGTAGTGTGTGTGTGTGTGTGTGGTATGTATGTACTCACCTAGTTGTGCTTGTGGGGGTTTGAGCTCTGGCTCTTTGGTCCCGCCTCTCAGTTATCAATCAACAGGTGTACAGGTTCCTGAGCCAACTGGGCTCTATCACATCTACATTTGAAACTGTGTATGGAGTCAGCCTCCACAACATCACTGCCTAATCTGTTAACTACTCTGACACTGAAGAAGTTCTAACGTTCCTGTGGCTCATTTGGAAGTATTACGGGATATGCCCCATGTAAACAAATACATTTGCATTACGCACATACAATGTACGCATTCGCACGTGCTTATAAGTACGTGTAAACATGCGTATACTTACTCGCACGTAAACACACACTGAATATACGCAGACAACGAAAAGAAAACGGACAAAGAGACTGAGGCCCGCGGGACTGACTAATGTAATCCAACGTAGCCTGAGAATGCGCGGCAGGGAACAGTGTTTTCTCTCCTGACTTATGACCCACTTTAAAACTTGCCGTCTTAACGCTGCCTTGCTTGTTTTCCTGATTAAATTACTGGGTCTCCCTCCCTCCCCGCCTCCCCCGTCCTTAACCGTGCCCAGTGACGTGGTCGTTAACGCAAGCTGACAGGTTGGCGAGAGAGATTCTGGCGTCTAGCTGCGTTGTTTATTGGTGGAAACATGAAGGAGAACTATGTGACGTCATTAACTGAGCTGGCTCTTATTGGTTCGAGGTTAGAAGGGATCTGTGACGTCATGATCTAATCCGACTCTGATTGGTAAAAAGTTTGATGGATTCTGTGACGTCATTAACTGAGCTGGCTTTTATTGGTTAGAGGTTAGAAGGGATCTGTGACGTCATCATCTGATCCGACTTTCATTGGTCAATAGATGGATTCTGTGACGTCGTGAGGTTACGGTCGGTGGTATGTGGGTTGCTGGAAGTGGAATATTATCTCCAAGCTTTCATTTACAGTTTAATAGTTAAGCTGATAATTATATAATGGTCGCTTGACATTATCCCCATCGACTTAGACTACTCGTTAGGTGAACGGACTCACTTTTTGCAGGGTTCGTGTTCGAGCTCGGATATGGTCCAAGTGGTTGGGCATCGGTCCTTGACCCTCCTACTCACATTCCAGTTCCTTGTCCTCATATCCCAGTTCCTTGTCCTCATATCTCAGTTCCTTGTCCTCATATCTCAGTTCCTTGTCCTCATATCCCAGTTCCTTGTCCTCATATCCCAGTTCCTTGTCCTCATATCCCAGTTCCTTGTCCTCGTGTCCCTTCAAGTTCAATGGTGGCGCAATGGCTCAGCGCTTTCTCCTAATAGTTATCTTACCTTCAGCAGAATCTTCACCATGTCGTTAATAAAACAGGAGTAAAGCATAACGTAATGTAGCCTGTGATACATTAGCTTGGACGCGAAAGAGAGGAAAAGAGAGAGAGAGAGAGAGAGAGAGAGAGAGAGAGGAGAGACAGAGAGAGAGAGAGAGAGAGAGAGAGAGAGAGAGAGAGAGCGAGACAGAGAGAGAGGGAGAGACAGAGAGACAGAGAGAGAGAGAGAGAGAGCGAGAGAGAGGGAGACAGAGAGAGAGAGACAGAGAGAGAGAGAGAGAGAGAGAGAGAGAGAGAGAGAGAGAGAGAGAGAGAGAGAGAGAGAGAGAGAGAGAGAGACAGAGAGAGAGAGAGAGAGAGAGAGAGAGGGAGACAGGTGTTTGTCTCAATATGTCAGTCAAATACAGTGTGAATGTAGCCAGCAGACAACCATTGTCAACTGGCCACCGGGACAAAGAGCTCACTAGAGAGTGTTCTCTAGGAATAATGGACTTGATCACTTAATAAAGGTGGAAAACAGCCAGCAGGTTGTTCCCTCTCTTAGAAGACACCAATGAAAGCTCACGAATAAACTCGTATGTAATCGAAGGTGTAATAAAGCAAAGCTGAGAAGTATGAGGACGTGGAGAAACTGCAGGATTAAGAGAGCTAATAAAGCAAAGGGAGCTACAGAGGGCCAACAAAGAGTATATTAAAGTGAGAAGAGAAGTAAAAGAGGCAATTTGAGAATGACACAGTTAATAAAGTTAAGATATATCCAAATTTGATATTCAGGCACTTCAGAAAGGGTAATATCATCTCCACCCACACCATCTCCACCAACACCCACACCACCACCACCAACACCCACACCACCACCACCAACACCCACACCACCACCACCAACACCCACACCACCTCCACCCAACACCTACACCACCTCCACCAACACCCACACCACCTCCACCAACACCCACACCACCACCACCAACACCCACACCACCACCACCAACACCAACACCACCACCACCACCAACACCCACACCACCACCACCACCACCAACACCCACACCACCAACACCTACACCAGCATAATTTTAATAATTATTAAAGTGCTAATAATGCGTTGAATATCAATAATTTACAAATTTTAAATATATGAATAATTATACATTTGTATTACATGTTAATTGGATTTTAATTCATTTAATTAAAATAAAAATATTAACAAATAGTAGTTAATCAGTCTATTTAATTAACAATTGCTTATTATTGCCA